TGTGCTTTACACAATTGATCTATGTATTGTGATGAATTGTATGAGCCCCAATAAATTGATTAAAAAAAATGGTGACCCATCTCTCTAACTCTTTCCCCCAAATAATTCTGTCCTCTTCAATATGTACTACTTCAAAACAACAAATTTCCCATCCTCCAGGGACTCCAATCATGTTACTTTGAAGTTTTCTTTGAGATTTGAGAACAAGAAGTCTAAAGGAGCAAGATCATGGCTGTAGGACAGAGGGGGTTAGGTTTCCCAGTGAAATTCTTATGACAACTCTTTCTACCTTTAAAGAGACAACAGATGCTTTGTCATGAAGGGGAAATAAATCCTACATTCAACTTTCCTGGACTTCTCCTGCACTTTCCAATTTTTCTTAATACTTCTTTATAATATGTCCCTTATCATCCTGTGTGAGTTTTAAAATTTGTCCAGATGACATCTTCTGAATTTCAATAAAAGATCAAGAATACCTTCTGAGCTGACTTGAATTTAACTGATACAACCCATCCCTCAAAATTCACTGTTTTGACTGGACCTTCTATTTTGAAGGCACCATTATGAGACTAAGACAAGTCTATTACTGAGAGAACTTGTCTGAAGCCATCCTTTGATCACATACATGCTTGGTTCAGAATAACCAAGGGCAAATATGAACTGGAATTTAGTAGCACCTGTTGAATCACCAATGAATTTAAAGCACACCAATGAAACATACAAGGTGTTCAATTAATTTGGGATTCTATGAGGATTTTTTCCCCTTAGATTTACTGATTGACTTGAACAAGAATTGGAATATATATGAGATGTTAACATAATTACAAAATCACAGAGGAGCAATGTTTCCAAATCAACATTTAAGAGTTCTAAATCTACTTCTATAGGATTTCCTGAGCTGTTACACTGATAAAAATCATCCTGCCACACCTTTTACCTGAAAATTGTGGATGAGAACCACAGACTCTTTACTTGGCAGACAAGTTCATAACCACTGAGACACCAGTTCTCAGAACTGTCAATTCATAGGTGACCTTGGGATTTTGGTTGAGGAGTTCTGGTGCTGTAAATGGTTGGGTGCTGGTCTGCTAACTAGGAAGTTGGTTCTTAAACCTTTTCAGTGGCTGTGGGATAGAAAACCTGGAGATCTGCTTCAGCCAAACCATATCAAACCCACTGCCATAGCAGAGCCTATTCCGACTCCTAACTGCCCCATGCCACACACTAGAATCACTCCACGAATTTCCATGGTTTTAACTTTCACAAAGGCAGATTGTCACCTCTTTCTCCCTAAGAGCAGGAGATGGGGCAACCAAGCGACCTTTTGGTTAGTAGCCCGGCATTTAACCATTGTGCTCCCAGGTTTCCTTCCCATAAACATAGAAGCCAAGAAAACACTACAGGGGAGTGGGGGTGGGGGGTGTACTCCGTAACATGAATTCACTTTGTGTCAAAAAGGACTTGACAGTACCTAACAACCGCATGTTTTCTTATTTTAAAATCTATATTGAATCAAAATCCCTACCAAAACAAATGGCAAGCTATTTCTGCAAAACAGAAAGCCAGATAATTTTGGTAACTTTAATGAAAGTTATGTATATTTATATATATGTATATATACTAGATGCATATATGTAGATGCAATTACTTCTTAATGTAATAGTACTTAATGCAAATTACATGTATATGTTCTATAAAGTTAAAATGTTCTTTAAGAGTGAAACAATAAAATGCGCACACACACTAATCACCTAAATTAGAGTCAAGGATATAACAACATTAAAAATTATCAGAGCAGTTTTAAAATTAAGTACAAACTATGTAAGTTGATAGAGATGTAAGAAAGTATATTTTTAGAATTAAATATCAGGGTCATGAAATTGTATCTATGACATAAGCCAAATAAAAATCCTAATTTCAAGCAATTTTTCACCTTCTATCATGCATAAGGAGCACAAAATATATCAGGAGGTACTGAATTAGGACTTGGGGCCTCCTCTGCAGAGTTTGACTAGAACACTGAGAAAGGAATCAGTAAGGGGCAGGTAAAAGTCAGAATCATGAAAGGATGGAACAGGCATGAGAAAAAAAGATTAGATTAGTATGCTCCTGGCATGTAGCCTTGTTGAAAACAGTGAGAGGGAATGGCTAATCTGGCACCACCAAAGAAAGAGAAGAGGGGGAAATCCACACCTAATGTCATTTTAAAGGCATCATCAACAGCCTCACCCAGTCAGTTTCAATAGACTGGTATGTTTACAAACCAGATTATAAGCAATTGAGTAAGATGAAAGTGGTGACTAGAGAAAATTACTGCAAATTATTGAAGATAACTCAGGGAATGAAGTTGTAAACTCAATTTAATACTTATTGTGCTGATTGTAACATTAGTGATTTGAACACAAGGAAAATTAACGTGTATGCATTCAACATAAAAACAAAAATCATAACATAATAAGGATTATATTTCCCAGCTGTGTAAATTTTTTAAAGAATATTCTCTCATTTATGAGTGATTTAGCTATATAGCAATTCTCACTGTCATCTGTGCTCAATTGAACAATCAGTGAAAACCTAATAAAGTAGTAAACATTTGAAAACGTTAAGGAAAAAATTAGAGGATGACTCTATTAAGGGAGACCTTAATAAATATGTTAATGATAGCTTTGACCAGAGCAATAAACAGATCCCTAAGTTGCTGTAACAAGGTTGGAAACATCTTGTTGGTCGTACACACCACATACATCCACAGTTTCTCCAAGGAAAAACGTCTCAAACGGATAGATAGAATTGAATACATTTCAATTTGTAATTAGGGACGCATTCTTATAAATAAACAGTGCCCTCATGGTCAAGTTGTCAGTATTCAATGGGGATAAGTATATTCTGTAGTTAAATCGATAGTTAAATGTAAATCAAATTTTTTTTAATCATGGAGAATAAGATCCTGTTATAACTTAAATTATATTATCATTAAAAACATCCCTATTGATTGTGTGCTATTTTTCAAACTCTCAGTCATTTCAACTAGTAGGCTCTAAATCCATATAATGTTATGTGCATTTATTTTTAATAACATGCAAAATAGAAACAATCAGGGAGTAAGTCATTTTGGAGTTTCTAAATTTTGGGGTTTTTTCATATATATAATAGTGGGTTTTATAGTATGTAGATTGAAATATAAAATGTATAACTTGCCATTTGTAATGGTCAAGAATGCTCAAATTCAGATTTCTAGCAAATTGAATGGAAGAATAAAAATTGAAAGCATTATTTTGTTTTAAATATTTATGATCAACAAAAGCAAATATATGTAAAATACATAACAAATCATCAGATAAACTATTCCCAGAATCTTCTTGAATCTTATTTCTCTCATTTTGTGCAGAAGGCAGGAGTCAGGGATGAGAAACCACACAATAACCACATTCATCCTCCTGGGACTGACAGAAGACCCACAACTGCAAGTTCTGATTTTCATATTTCTACTCATCTCCTACATGTTGACTGTGACTGGAAATCTGACCATCATCCTCCTCACATTAGTGGATTCCCACCTTAAATCTCCCATGTACTTTTTCCTCCAAAATTTCTCCTTCTTAGAAATCTCGTTCACCTCTTCCTGCATTCCAAGATTCTTATACAGCTTATCAACAGGTGACAGGACCATTACCTATGGTGTGTGTTTAAGCCAACTGTTTCTCACAGACTTGTTTGGAATAACAGGATTTTTCCTTCTTGCCACCATGTCCTATGATCGATATGTGGCCATCTGCAAACCCCTGCACTACATGACCATCATGAACCACAGGGTCTGCCAAAGGTTTGTCTTAGGCTGCTGGACAATTACTTTGTTGATCACAACTCCGCCTTTTAGCTTTCTATTAGACTTGGAATTCTGTGATTCTAATGTTATTGATCACTTTCTCTGTGATGTCAATCCTATCATGAAGATCGCATGCACAACTACACAATTTATAGAGCAAATGATTCTTATCTGCTCTGCATTGCTCTTAATAGTTACTCTCTTGTGTGTGGTTTCGTCCTACATATATGTTATCAGAAAAATTCTAAAATACCCCTCTGCCCAACAAAGAAAAAAGGCCTTTTCTACTTGTTCGTCCCACATGATTGTGGTTTCCATCACCTACGGGAGCTGCATCTTTGTCTACATCAAACCTTCGGCAAAGGATGAAATGGCCATTAATAAGGGGGTGACAATGCTAACGACATCCATTTCCCCCATGCTAAACCCATTTGTTTATAGTCTGAGGAACAAACAAGTCAAACAAGCCTTCAATGACTTAGTCAAAAGAATTATGTTATTCACAAAGCATTAAAGGAATAATGACAGCAGGGGCATTAAGCTTTTTTTTTTTTTAAGCACCACTCCTATTCTGTCATCATCGTCTTCATCATTCGCTTTGGCCGTGCGTTCAGTACCACATGGCACCATTTAACTCCCGCATCTCCTTAAAAACAAACAATCTCTTTGAGAACGATAACCATCAATAAGAACATATGACAATATTTGTTTCCAGAAAAAGCATGACTTAACTCTACACTTGGCCTTGCCAATGCTGACAAAGTTTGGAGATTTACCAGAAAATAAATGTGCAACAGTGCATCTCCTTCTCAAAAAGAAATCCCCTCAAGTAAAGAGAGGAATATTTTAAAAATGAATGGCACTTGTAAGCAGTAACAGGGAAACAACTTATACTTCCTGAAGTAAATTTCAAAATAAGGAATAAGGGTAAAGATTTGCACTCTTCAAAAATGTATTTGGTATTGGAAAATATTTAAAATAATAAGATTTACAGATTTTATTGATAATTCAATTTCATCTAGCGATATAAGAATCTTGCTAAAAGAAGTTTGAATGAAAAGAAATGCAATGTCTGTTTGTTTGTTTTCTTAACCATTAATGCCTGTTTAAAATATTCCTTTTAATAGGACTAAATAAGAAAATGAACAAACACAGGCTTGATACTGATGCACCAAAAAGATCATTGAATCTTTTATGCATAGTATGAAAATTTAGCAAAAATTTGGTTTCAAGGGCAAGAAGTTAACAAGGCCAGGAGACTGACAAATAATAACTGGCAACCAAATGTTTAGGATAGGGAAATGAGAAAGAAAGAAAACTCTGAAAACAATAATAGCATAATTGAAAATGTATGCTTAGTCATTTCAACATTACAAAATCTTAAACCAATGTTCTTTCTCAGAGAGAAATAAAATCTGTGTTTCATGACGTACTAAATTAGTCACAGGTTTTCACCTCTTTATTCCAACATATTTATTTTATTGATCCTTCTTTTCTTTATTTTGCCACTGTTGATATTGTGAGATGAAATAGCCCTCCCATATTTCAACAGCTACCATCAACTGGTCTTCTAAGTTTCAATTTAAGTGAAATTTCCACCAGAAATCTACCACTGATCTCATCTTACATCTCCACCATCAGTGCTAACACCAAGTCTACCATATGCCTCAGACAAACTAATCTTCTGCTGTTCTAATTTTTTCAATGCCACAATTTTATGTGTACCTACATTATTCTACTCTAGAGAGTCAATGCCATGGATTTTCTATTGTATGTCAAATTCTAGAATACTTTGTCTACTACCTTGTCAAATACTAGCTACACAATAAATCGTCAGCTGCATGCCCCTGCAGAATGATCGCATAAGAGAAAACCAGCCAGACCGTAAGGGATAGTCAAAGGACTTATTCTAGATTAGGGAGACAAGTGGATGGGAAAATGACCATTTTACATGGTAAAAACATATCTAATTTAGAGAATGGCTCACAAGTTTCACTAACAGAGAGGAAGTCCCCAGAGAATGTTGAAGGTGGACTTTGGGGCCAGGGCGTGGGGCCCCAATAGACTGGACTGGAAAAGACTCCTAAAGGCCAACAAACAGTCCTTGAACTAACTACAAGTTTTTCTTTCTTGTTGTGTTTTTTTTGTCATTGGTTTGTTGTTGTTGTACATTGTTGCTTGGTTTTGCTCTGTCTTGTTTTTGTGCATGTTATTATCTC